CCGGCGGCGCCGGGATTTGGTGCTGGTGGCCATCCGCAACGATGCTTGCGCCATGGGCTACGCGGCCAGCTGCTTGCAGTCGGACATGGGCGCCTCAGCGCAAGCAGCGCGATCTTTGTGGAGCGCGGGTCATCGGCTTTTCAGAGGATCCCACAGTCCTCTCCAAAACCCCCAAGGGCATTCCTTGGGAACCAGCAAGCGCTGTGCAATTAAAGGAAGGCGGTCCGCCAAAAGGAGATTCCTCTATCAACAATTCGGCAAGGGCCATTTTTGTAGGTTGTTCCTCTACCGGGCTTAATTGGGTTTATAGCTTTTGACCATGTGGGAACCAAACGCCAATGCGTCGATTAAACCTTTGGTCCCCTGGTTTGAGTCAGCGCAGCTTTCAACAGGTGAAGGTGGCCTCCCCAAACTTGAGCTTACCGTTGGGTGAAAGTAGATGCCACAATTCCAACCCATGTTGGCTTAGTCTTCAGTCACAATCCCCCATGTTGGTTTCGTCATCCCCTTTGCCCCCATCATCTGGGATTTGTGCCGTCTACTTTACCGTGGTGTAGCCTCCGCCCACCCCCTCCCCCTCCCTCGCAACTTGAGGTTACCCATCAGAGCGAGCCTCCTTGCCAGGCTTTGTGCTGGAGGCGGCAAGGGCAAACCCCAACTGTTTGCGCTATGTGCCAGAGAACCATTGGCAGCAGAAGGAGTTCGTGCTGAAAGCAGTGGAGGCGCGGTGGGCTTTGTGACATGAGAATCAAGCAATGTGGGTTAAAAATCTGACCCCTTGGCCACCCTGTGCCGCATGTTTGAGGGATACCAAAAAGGGGGCCCGTCATTTGGAAAACCCCCAATGTTGAAACAGAACAATGATGATAGCACTAGTGGCGGATCCGACTTCTGACATACCTGAAATATTAAGCGTTTCCCCTTGAGACTGCACTGGTGTGGTTGCCTTTGAGGTGAACCCCAGCCTTCTGGTGTTTGGACGAGCCTGCAAGAAGCACAACTCTCAGTGGGGAGAGGAGCCCATATTGGTATAAACAGATATGGGTCGGTCTCAACATAAACCACGCCCTTTTGGATGGTTTTAAATGGACACCAAGGAAGCCGAAAAATCGCGACCAGGAATCCATGAGTTCCCGGTCAAACCGAGCCAAAAGGCGACACCAAACACGACACCCGTCTCGGGATGCATCTCCGAGTCGATGGCCAGGTGACGGGCACCGCCTTTGGCCTCGCCAGCCCCGAGCTACGGAGCTGCCGGGACTTTGTCAGCTTGGTGGTGGGGAGGCGGGGCCAAGGCCTCGAATGGTCGATGTTTTTTTTGGGGGGCCCTTTGTGTTCTTCGTCTTTTGGTTCCCATCTTACAACCCAGAATCGAGTCTCCAAGTTAGGTCGCCTCCAACACGTGGACAGGGATACCACAGCGGTTGTTCACATGCCCCAAGGGGGACTCACTGAATTGATCCTTGAATCGGCAAATGCGGTTGGGTTGGTTCCCACTCCACGGGACCCATCTTACAGATGGCCGCTGCCGGTTTCAACCGGCTTGAAAGCCTATGGGAGCTCAGAATGGTGGACCCCTCTCGAATGGAATTTCAATCGAAGCCGAAGCTCACTTCCTGAGTCCATGGACTTTCTACTTTTTTGGAAGACCATAGTTTGGACAATTTCTTTGGGCCATCCACTCGGGAAAAGAGAGAAAAGGGTGTGTCTTAAAGTAGGGGACCCTGAAATCTGTGGGTTTCCATCTGAAGCCCCTTTAAAAAGAACAGCCCAAAAGGGGAACCATCCAAAAAAGGACGCACCCAAAAGGACCCGTCAGGGTTCCAGCCCACAGGACTCGTGGACGCCCACTTTCGGTCGGCAGGAACAGCTCCGCCTGGAGCTTCGTGCCCCAGGAGCTGCGCTTGGACCGGCAGGCGAGGCCGCTGAGCTCTGCGTTTCGTCTTGCGCAGACCTCGAGGGAGGAGGTCTGTTTGTTTTTTTTCCCCCCCGGAGGAATGGGGGGGAGGGGTGGGAGAAGGGGTGGGTGGGGGGGGGGGTCGTTTTCTTGCTGGTGCGATGGGTAGGGAACCCGGGCTTTGGTTATCTTGGAGGAAACCACCAGTTGGATGGCATTTATAGGGGTCGTTCCCTCATTGCCTGCTGAGCAGCAGTAAGGTTTTTTTTTGGGAGAGAGGGGGGGAAGGGCTGATTTGGTTGAATCAAATGGCTTGCTTGTGAGTAAACCATTTGTGCAACAAAAGGGCTGCTTTGGTGGCCCACATGAGGGATGGCTCACAAGTCAAATCGGTGTCCGAAACCACGGACAGGAATATAAGAAGCATTGACTTTGCCACAGTTGGATTTGTTTTCATGTTGGTGGACTGCCCTTTGGTTTCGAAAGGGCACTCAGAGATTAGACCCTTGAACCAACATCCCATACTTCCAGCAAACACCTAAGCAACTGACAATGTGAGGGTAGTTTGATGTGTGTGAACAGACCGAAACAGACCCCGATTCCAGCCATTGAAACCAGGCTACCGGGCTACCGAAACGCCCAATTTGCTGGCGCAGAAAGAATATGGTCCGCTAAACACGGAGATTGGGTGTCGAAAGATCACAGAAATGTTCCCAGTGATTCGCAGATCCTAAATTCGATTCTCAGGTGGTACCAGTTGCTCAGGTGGTGCTGGCAGCTGTGCAGAACAACAGCGACATGCTGAAGCAAGTGGATGAGGCTCGGGCATTGGCATGGACTGTGAAATCAGAAGGCCGTTAACGACATCCCCCCTGTTGTATTCACAAACCGGAGGTTTATCAAGTCAACATTTGTGAGAGAGCCATCACTTTGAGCCGATGGGGCTTTTGGACAGAATCCATTTCCCATCAACCGGGATGGATGAGGTCCGAATTGAATGAGCATGGTGAACCACCAACTGCTGAAAGCGGATTCTGTCCAGGGCTTCCGCAAAGACCGGGCCTTTGTCCTGGCGGTGGTGCAGCGCAACGGCGCGGCGTTGGCCTATGCGTCTCGGACGCACAGCTTCGTTTTATTTTTGGGAGACGGACTCTGCGTGAACCCAAACCAATGTGGCGCTGGGACTGGGAACGTGTCAAAGTGAGAGTCGAACTGGGGATGCTTCCCCAATCAGACTGGCCGGCGCCCGCACAGATGGGCATGTGTTAAAATAGGGCCCCAAATGACGGCTTCCTTCAAGCTCCATCTGAAAGGGAGCTCGTCACTGGAGATTGTGCGAAGAGGCTCCTTGGACCAGCAGACGGACTGTGCCTCAAAACGGGGGATCCCTCCTGGTACGTTAAAGTTTGCCAGAGACTCGTGCCATTTAAGGAGAAACGAAGGACGTGGGAATGAGATGGTTCACACTGCAATACCAAGCAACCTCGCGAAGTGGGTCTGTGTTTTTCTTTGAGGGTGCCGGTTTTGCCAGTGTCCTGAAGGGAAGCCAATTACCCCCCTCCCCCCCCCCCCATTTTTAGACACCCGAGTGAAGGATTCATTCACGAAGGCCTTCCCGTAGCAGAAGTGGAAAGCCAAGTCTCAAGTTCCCAGAGCCGGAGCCGCCCGAAACGGAGGCGGACCTGGGTTTACGTGCAGACCGCGAGGCGAGACCGGGGCTTCATGGCCCTAAAGGAGGCATGGGCTGTGGTTAAAGCGAGGCTCGGTCCAGGCTCCGTACCCCTTTCAGGGTTTTTAGGAAAAGGACAACTTTGTCCACCCTTTTGGGGCTCCCGCAATTTTGACTCACATACCCGCATGGGGATCCGTTTTGACTGGCGAATTTGGCGCTGGAAGCAATGCCCGCCTTAGAGATCAGCAATTTCTTCTTTGGCACGGGGTTCCCCAGCGCCAAGCAAGATCTTTGCAGCGTTCACATCAGCCCAGAGGTTTTTTGGTAGCGGCAACCTTGAGGGAGCTTCAAGGCTTTGGGTGCCGTTTCCTTCAGCAAGCCCTCAAGGGTCGCAAGACTCGTCAGCCCTTCGTTGCCTTTTGGGCTCCTTGCGACCGCGCAGGTTGTCTTGACGGCTGTGCAGAGCGCTTGACCCTCAGACCTTCCCAGTGGGCTTTTGTCGGCTTGTTCGCCCCCTTTGCATATGATTGGGGGTCTGTTTTGAGAGCCTTTGTGCATTGAAGAGCACCCTGAAATAGGGGTCATGCTTTTGTGCTGGCTTTTGTGCCGATTTTCACCCCTAAACGGCTGTGACCCCTTTGGGTTGCCATGCCCCATGTGGCCCTCAGGATGGTACTGCACTCTCCGTGGCGTCCGAGGCCAGGTGCATCCATGGGTTGTTTGAGTTTCTTTTTTCCACCCGACAGGTTTGGGAAACGGGACCACGGGACACGGAAAACGGGACCTCGGTCTCCTTGTGTAGCACCTCTGACCATCTCTGACCATGCAGACCAAGAGGCTCCCGGCAGTGGCCCGACCCAGACAGCAGGGACAGATGGAACTCTGGCCTGTGGCGCTTTGCCCCGTGCAACTTTGGACCACCCCAGCGGTCCAATTTAATCAGATATCAGGATGCGGATTGGGTGGCAGGCGTGGCACGGATACTTTCCACACCGCGTAAACACTTGCAGGTGTGCAAACTGACCGCTCTGGATGTGCCCTGTTGCAGGATTCTAGGAGAAGAGGGCTTCGCCGAAGCCCAAACAGGCCAACATTGCCGCGCGGCAAGTTCCCGCCAGTTGCCCCACCCGCGCAGCAGACCAGATGGTTTTGAAGGCGCCAATGGATCGCCCCGTTGGATGCTTTTCTTTCAGCACAGACACAAGCAATGACTTAGGTGGGGATATCTTGAAGTGCTGAATTCAGTAGGCCTCCTCATTACCGCGCCAATCTTGAACCTCGCCGTGCAGCCAATAAAATTTGCGCAGACCACTCTGGACTGCAAGCAGCATATCCGAGAGTTGAAAGAGGAAGGCACTTCACCCAAGAAATCTGACATTGGTCAAGCGCGTCGTTGGACATGCTCAGAAGTGAACACGTTGTAACCTGCCTTCTGAAAGTTCGAATTCGGCCATTTCGCCGCTTTCGACGTGGCGCCGAAAGCCCAACACGTCCTGCCTCGAACCATGATTGTTTGGGTCCCTAGCTCAGCACTGCCCAGCCCCTTTGACCATGCCGCCAACAAGTTCAGCTCCCTGACCGGGTCAAGTGCTCCCTCAAAACGTCAAAGTCATGGCAAGAGTTTTTCTAGGGCTCATCCACGTACCTCTGCCGTGTGTGACTCTAGTGCCCACCCCTCATGAACCGGATGTCATCTAGGCTTCCTCTTTCCACAGGGGGGAAAAAACGTGCTCAACTGGGGGTGTTTTATTTTCATGGCAGCCGCGTTTGACCACCAGTCACCAGTTACCATCCTGGCCAGGAGCTGCAGGAAGATCGAGGCTTCGTTCTTTCTGCCATCGGCCCGACGCCCAAAGCTGCGAACCGGCGAAGCTGTATCCAAACATGGGGTGTTGTCAAAATCGGGGCGGCAGGGTCCAGAAGCGGGGCATGTTTTTGGCGCCACATATTTTACAAGCTTTTTGAACTGGGTGCCGGGCAATGTGCGTGCAAGCAGTTGCGAAAGTTGGAGGTCCAAGAGATAGAACTTTAGAATCTTAGAAGAACCTTCAGCGTTCCGCACTCACTCTTGCCAAGGCCGCAACAGCAAGGCATTGACATTTTGAGCAAGTTGGTCAGATTGCACCGGTGCGATGTTCGAGTCAGGATTGTTTCTTGTCCTGGGCAGGCGCTGCTGGTCGCCGCCCGCAGCCCAGTTTGCATCGCAGTCTTGCAGCGATGCCTCAAGTTGGAAGGCTCCAGAGTGGCAAGCTGACTACAGCTTCTCGCTAGATGCCGTCGCCAGGCGAATCGGTCGCGCAGTTTGAGAGCGCAAATCACCCCTGAAACAGTTGGTATCTGCTTGGTTTCCTTTGAGCTACAGCCAAAAGGGAAGGTCCACCATTTTGAGAAATCCCCCAGTTCTTGGGAGTTCCCCAGTCCTTGGATGTTCGCAGGAACGCATCGGCTCTGGCACTTCTGGCGCCTTGCTTTCAAGAGGAGCGATGTGTGTATGATGCGAAATGGGAAGAAGCCACAAGCCGTCTCGCCAGGATCACGAATTCCTGCTGGCCGCTGTTGCGCGAAATGGCGATGCTCTTTGCTATGTGCAAGAGCCGAGACCTCAGAAGATGGAAGGACTTGTTTGTGAGAAGCAAGGACTCTAGATGGCGTTTATGCCATGTCAAAGGTAGCTAAGAGTGAGTGATCTTATCCGCGGCGTTCATCACGTTGGGTTGCAGAAGGCGACTTCCTTTTCCTCCTTCCCCACAGACTCGAGCTTGCCAGTGCGTTGGTTGTTTCCTGGTGCATCACAAGGTCCTTTCAGAACGAGCAGCTGGTGCTGTCAGCGATTGAGTCAGCGCCACCCCAAGCTGGAAAGGTCCTTGAGTTGAGACTGACAAGGATTGACACCCCTGTGCGTTGAGCCACAATGTTTGTGGTTAATTGGATGGATAGAGTCAAAGTCACCCTGCATTTGCCAGCTTGTGCATGCAAGAACTATGACCAATGTTGCGAGCTGTTTGCGGGCCGTCAAGGAAGCCGAATTGAACACTCGCTGCATGGTGCAGTCAGACCTTGCATGCTGCTACGCTCAGTTGCTGCGTGGCAGCTGGCCTCTGGTACTCTTGTTTTGGTCAGCTTGAAAGTGACAAACGAGTCGCAAAAAGTCAACCCGCCAAAACAGGGTGGGGTGTCCGTATGACGTATGATAGACACAGAGGGCCTTAGTTTGCAACCACCTTTAAGCTGGATTTGTTGCGTTCGAGTTGACCTCGATGTCCGATGTCCATGGCACCCATATGAATGGGAACGTGTCAAAATAGGGGACCCACAATACAATATATGAGTTTTGCTTTCCCCTTGAACCCTCCGCCACTAGTTGAGGGACCCCCCAGACGCTTGTCCCCGATTCGAGACCCGCCCCACAGCCGAGGACAGTGCGGCCTTGCGCTACGTGGACGAGCGACTCCGCGGTGACGGGGACTTTGTGCTGGACGCCATCCAGCGAAACGCGGAGGCGGGCCTCATGGGCTAAGGCCATCCGCAAGATCCTTTGAGTTGCGAAAGCGGTGCACTTTGTAGTGGCTTCCAACAGGGATCATGGATTGGACCCCATTTTGAGTAGCCAAGTAAGTTGTTTTGCCATGGTCAATGTCACTTCAAGGGCTAGTATAAAAGGAACATTCCCAGTTGTCCACTTTTACTCCCAGAAACTGTCAAAAACATGACCCCAGTTCACGTGGTTGCATTTTGAGCTGTTTTTTCTTGTTCTTTTTCGGGCTAAATAAAATTACTCTTAGGACCAGGTTTTTGCGGGCCATTTTGAGGATGCCACCAACGAACAACCATTCAACCTTAGTTTGCTGCAGGTTCTTCCCTATATCCTGGACACCTTGCGGGAGGTGTGATCTTTGGCACGTGCCTTAGGCCCTTAGGCGCCTTTCGCGAGTCGCAGGACCCAGCCTTTATGCTGGAGGCCCTCCAACGGAACTCCAGGCCGGATCCGATCCAGTCGAAAAGCAAAGGGGACCTCCAAGATACCCACTGTTTGTCCAACCCCAAACCTGCTTCATTGACCTCAATTTTGCCTTCTATAAATCAAACACAGGTTGAACGTCCAAAAAACAGTGTGCCCCCCCCCCCCCCCCCGGTCAAGGGGATCTTGATCCTCAAAAAGTGGCAGCTGTAGGATGGGCATGGCGTCGAGGATGCGCATGTGGCCCTTGCTTGCTGTGCTCTTGGTTTCTGTTTCAAAGGTACAGCTTACCTGAAGTCGTTTCTGATGTTTGGCGAGATGGCCTCTGTGACTTCGTCCGAAGTATGGGCGCCCTTTGATCGGCAAAGGACATGTTCTAAGGGGAAGTTCTCCAGGCATTCCAGCAGCCATTTTTCTCGAGGCTCATTCCCTATGACAAACATGACAAATCGATGTGTTGACAGACCCTTTTAAGCACTCAGGCAGTCGTTCCATGTGCCAGGGTGATGGAGTTCATGGATCCGTCGCTCCGGCAACCTGGCAGTAGTTCCATCCTTTTCTCTCCGTGTCCTTGTGGATTTCTTTGAGGGAATGTCACAATCACGGGCCAGACTGGGAGTGCGTCAAGGCCCCCCCCCCTTAAAAGCGGAATTGGGGAGGGGGCAGAATACCATTGGAGAACTTCTGCAGAAGACTACGCAGTTCGCCACCCCTCTTTTCGATCGGGGATGTGCCCACGACAGGTGCACTTTGTGTTCGCCGCTGAGGCACAACTCTGACTTCATGCTGAAAGCCCTGCAAGCCAACTGCAGCGTGCTGCAGTCGGTAGCCCCTGAGCTGTGGAAGGAGCTTCAAAATTTGGTGTCGAAATCTGCTTGGATGAGGTGTTGATTTTGAGGTATCAAATTGTTTGAGTAACATGTGGGCAGGGGCCGCACGCACACATGCACATGCGCATACACATGTGACCGCACGCGCAGTAGTTGTCATCTCATATTCTTGACACTTGGAGGACTGCAACTTCGTCTTGCTCGCCTGGGCCTTGCTCATGCAGATGAGCAGGGATGACTTCAAGCAAGCTGAAAACAACGAGAACTGGGACAGTGGAGTGCATGAGGTATTACCCAAGATGGAAATGAACAGGTGGGATATCTTCTCCACTCAAAAGCGAGGGCATCAATGAATGCTCACTTGCATGTTGCATGGAGAGCTGAGGCAACCCGGACCTCTGGTGAAGCCTTGCGCTTTGCTTCAGCCGATTTGCAGCAGGAGCCGAGAGAGAGAGAGAGAGAGAGAGAGAGTCAGAGAGTATGTTTTGTACCAAAACGGAGAGCGACCATTTTAGGGCTTCCCCTATTTTAATACAGACCCACATGGGAACAAGGTTTGTTGGGCCAACCTTTTCGGATCCTACGGGTTGAATCATCTCGGGGCCAGGACAAAGCCTTCATCATCTCAGTCGGGGCCCCAGGTTTCGAGAGGTGGGCAGGTTTGTCTGTCACAAGGGGCGCAAACCTTGCCAACATGCAAAGTGCACAAGGTGTGCAATGATCTATGCTAGTGCCTCTTACTGTGGCGAGATGGTGGTCTTGTTGGATGTGAGGGTCTGGTTTTGCTCCCGAAGGGCTTGCTTTTGCCAGGGCATCGAGCGACATGATCAGACCCTCGGGTTCAAACAAGGATCCAGCAAAACGGCCGGTGAGGTTCACACGGCTCAGCTTTAGAGTTGGTGCGGCCTTTGGTTACGGCTCGCCTGCTTTTGGCTGACAGTCTGCGCGTGTTTGCGGCTCACGTTTGAGCGTAGCCTACTCTGAGGTTGAGAGTCGGCATTGGGCGGGTTCAAACAAGGTTTTGGCCTTGAATTTGCAAAGGGCCCTGAGTAAAACACCACACCCATATTATGAAACATGAGCAACTTGTGGACTTCTTCACTCCCCCTAGGAAGAATCGGGTTCCCTACTTGATTTGGGAAACAAAGACAAAATAAAGCGTCAGTCCACTGCTCTGGCTCCCAGAAGTAACATCCACTGGGTGACCCTAGATGGGTTACAACATGGAAATGCGTTATTGGAGGGATTTGGAGGGTGTTCTAACCACTGAAAATTCCGAGCCCTGCGGTTGCGGCCAGGTGGTTAAGGGGAACGGCATGGCCCTGCCATTTGTCACAGAGCTGAAGGAGGATGAGGAGGTGGGGAAAAGGGGGGTGGGGGGTGGTGAGGGAAGGGTGGCGTGTCCCATAACCACAGAAGGACCTTGGAAAGTCAAACGGAAAGTCGACCAACTTTGAGGGTCCCCCTATGTGAACCACCACTCATTGTAAAGGGCACCCTTGTTGCCCACCGATGGCTGGTCCCCTTCAACGCGAGGTTTGACTGTCAGGTGGCGCTGGCAGCCGTGCACAGCCGCCCGGAAGCCATGCGCTACGTGCGCGAGGACCTGTGCAAGAAACTTGGGCCCCACTGGGTGTTGCAATGATGTCAGAGTGAAAACAACCATGAAAGTGGGTAAGTGTTCACGGTGGCATTTGTTTTCGAGGCTTGTTGTCCAGGAGCATATAGGAGTACCGCAGAAGGCCTGGAAAGAACTTGAACAGGGCGAAGCAAACCCTGGATGTCTTGGCGCACCGCTTGCGGTCTTTCACACGTACTGGTAGGACACTGTAGGGTTTCAATCATGGTAATTTACTTAGAGAACCAGCTCAAAAGTGGTTGGTGGACGTAGAATCCCCACCTACATAGTCTTTACAAGTTCTACCAGCTTTGGTCTTCAAAGTCACACCCACATCGAAGGTTTGACCAGGGGAGCTTTCAGGAGCTGCGCCGGAGTCGGCCATTTATCCTGAAGGCGGTGAGCAGGCCGCGTGGATGTGATTTGCAGTTGGGGTTCGGGTTGGCAAAAAGTACAGGAATCCACACTATACCGGAAAGCGCCAAGGGCCTCAAGGACACTGCATCCTTTTGGGCATGGTTTCTGAAATTTCTCCACGGCATGGGAAACTGGTCGCTGGCCAGGTCGGGTGCCTGCTTGGCCTACGTGCCCCAAAGCTTCCGCAAGGACCGAGAGGTGCGGTGTGTCCCAAAGAGTTTGTTTGAGGGCACTTGGGCTTGGTTTACAGCACCCAATTGAACACCCCGAAAGAATTGGGTTGCGCCACACGAACGGATTTGCGAAAATGTGTCAGAACAGGGGACCTTCAAAGTGGTTCTTCCTCGAGTTTCTCTTTAACACCAGCCCAACAAGGGTCCCCTCCAAAACACAACTCACCACGAAGGGTCTCCAATTGTGCTCCAGGTAGTGCTGGCTGCTGTGCAGAACAATGGTGTCGCCTTGGCCTACGCTGCTGCAGACTTGCAAAGCAACCGCGAGGAGGGGGTAATTTCTCGGCAGGGCCCAAGACTTTGCACCAGAGCGGTTAGCTTTCTTTTGGATTTCCTTTCCAACATCAAACGGGGGGGTCTCCAATTTTGGTGCGTTACCTAGCACTCAGTCAATTGATTTCTTGGTACTTCCCTCCAAGACAAGGGCTGTTTAATTGGAGCTCAAAAAACAATGGTTTCGCTTATTCGTGAGATTTTCGCCATAGCTCGAACGTTCAGGTGGCGCTGGCGGCCATCGAGCGGAATGCGGACGCAGCTGTGGATCCGCGGCTATGGGAGGACGGCTCTGGGACGCTCCGGCGGCGCCCAGAAACCCCCCAGTCAACACATGGGTTTATGCATTCATGTGTGTAGTTGATGATGGGTTGCGGCCATGCATTTTGAGAACTGGAACCACCTCACAACGTAGTTGGTGGGACATGAATCCCGACCTAAATGATGGCCACCAAAGGGTCCCTAATACAGTTCAAACACACATTGGACATGTACTCGTATGTGTGCGCCTGTTCCTAAGGGTCCGTTTGTGTTTTCACTGATGGGGTCGGACACCTTGACGAATGCCCCGGAGTGTAGCAGTCCTGTTGGCAGATGCCGTCCCTGATGAGGCTTGCCAGGGCGAAAACAGAGTCGGGCCTACGTGGAGCCGAAACTCCTTTTCACCCCTTCTTGGTCCTTTTGGTCCCTCTTCGCTCCCTTTTGCTTCTGTCTGTGTTCCTGTTGTTTTTGGAAACCTTTGCGTTTCTGCTTCAGAAGATGCCTCTACATTCACGCTGACTCATGCAAGTGTGTGTGTGTGTGTGTGTGTGTTTGTTTTGCACCATTTTCCGAATGGTTTTAAACAGAAGCCCGAGGGAAAGCCAGCTTTCTGGAGGTCCTTGATTTTGGCACACACCGAAGCATGATTGGAAAATAGCGGCTCGTCTCCAAATGAAGGGAACGGTTCCTGTGGCGCATTGCGCCCTGTGTGCAGTTGCTCCACGTCCCCAGGATCGTGACTTCGCCTTGGCAGCTATTCAGCGCAACAGCGAGGCCGGCACAAAGGGCCGGCTTGCCAAAGCCGTCTTACACACGGTTTCTCGACATAAGAATCGGTTCCCTAAAATGGTTGGGTTCCCTTGAGTTTTCCTTTAGATGCAGATCAAAAATCTGGACGGTTGCGAAAAAAGGTTGTTTAGATTGCTGGTATCTTTGGCAAGTCATTGGACAGAAATCAGCAGGAAGGCCTCCAGGAGGCGCCTCGGATTCCGAGGGCAGTCCATTTTGCAAGACCGCTCTTCCAATCTTCAAGCATGTTCCTGTTGCTTCCAAAGAAATGCTTCTCGAAGGAGATATCCAATGGGAAGCAGCGCATGCCCCCCTACCAAGAAGTGAGTAGCTGAATAGCTTCCCCGCGCCCCGCAACATGTCCTATGGGGTCCCTTTAAGAGGAAACTGATCTTCCACTCCAGGTCCACCAGGTGACTTCTGTTTGTGGGAGGACCCTTTGGATTGCAGAGACACGCGTTCCAGGCGGTTCTTCGATGCACGGTGGACTTTCAGGAGGAGTTCCGTGGGATGCACAGTCTCTTGCCCCGGGGTCCGTTTGGGGATGGAAGCCCCGACCAGATGAGATGCGAACAGGGCAACTCGACACACCATTCGGAGGGTCCAAGTTTTGAAAAGCATTCAGGAACTTGCGGCTGGGTCCAATTGTCGAAGCACACCCCTTGTGTCAGCAGTCCCGCAATATGCCTCTGGAGCCTTGCAGAGGCAGAGGCTTGGCTTGTCAATTCAACGCCCATGAAGGTTGGCACATGAGCTCCGAATGGGTCTACCATGAAGTAAAACACCTGCACGGCGAAAGGCCGGCCATTTTAGCACGAATGGGTAACAATTATGGCACAAATGATCTCTTTTGATCTCTTTCATTCTTGATCCTGTTTTGCTCGACCTCACGTTCGAAGGACCCCTTGCGAACGATTTCGCAGTGATTTGGTTGGCCTTCCTGAGAGTGTCAAGAGAAGCCGCAGTGTTGATAATTTGTCAACAAACCAACTCTGAGACTACTCTTAGGGTCGTATATACGGAGTGTAGGATGAGGTTAAAGATGTTTGGCCCTCAATCCGAGCACTTGCGGACATTTGTTGCAATGACAAGAGCAAAAGCACACATCGGTGGAAGCTTCACCAGAAGATGCTGATGCCAATCGCTGTGCTCGGCCGTGACATGTCTGCCACGCTATTCATCATCTACTGTGAAGGAGACACCTTAGTGCCCCACCAGCCCCCATTGGGAGCTTCTCAGAATCCTTCTGAAAACCCTTCTCTAACAGGAGTAAGAGCAGGGCACGGCATAGGCTTTACCCCAACTTTTGGGAGGAGAGCATCCGGTGCAAGAGCTACAAATTACCAGTAGCTCATGGGGTTTGCTCCACACATTCCGAACATGTCACTTCACCTGCTGAAGGTCTCCTTTTAGGGTCGTGTAGAAGGATCAGCCATGGAGGGTTTCCCTCAAACCACACGCCAGGACCGCGGGTTCCTCCTGGAGGCAGTGCAGAGGCAAGGTGCTGCTTGCCCTGTATGAAGGTTCACGGCAGGCAACGTCAGGGTGTTTGCATTTTCTTTGTAAATTACTCGACTTTGGGGTTCATGTGGGAATTTAGAGTAGGGCTGCAAAACAATGCGGCTAGGTGTTCTTAGCCACGCGAGGTGGACGGGGCTCACTTTGTGGCTGGCTCTGGGAGTGAGACGCTCTGAATGACCGTTGGGAGAGCAGGGGCAACAACATTTTGTAGGTTTGGTAAACCAAGAGCAAGCGATGGTGATGGCATGATCCCTTCACCGTGCCAGGAACGGCGACGCACTCCGCTTTGCAGCGGAGATATACCGTTCCTGCGGCACAATTTTCTTCCGCACGGGCTTGTCTTTTTAACAGGGAACCATGGTGGCATGGCGCGAGGGAGGGGTGGTCAGGTTCCACGTTGGGTGGGACGAGTTGCATGACAAGGCTACGACCACGCTCTGGTTCTGGCGGCCATTCAGAGCGTGCGGCGCCTAACCGGACGTCCAGACCGGGCTGTTCAAAGGCAATCCTTGAGTTGCGAAAGGGGTAACCCATGCCCAGAGCAGTGTGTGTGACCCGGCGATGCCCCAATGTGTGCCAAACGGTTGGTAGGCATGGTCATCAAAATGTCATACCTCTTGATAGGATGTATGCAGCCAATGTAAAGGTTGCTACTAAGAGAACCAGGATCACCCTAAGGAGTCTTGACCATGGCCCATGAGGATGGCACAGCTTTGCGCTACGCGGGCGAGATCATGCGGGAGGATCGAAACTTTGTGCTCGAGGCACTGAGCTGGGGCTCTCAGAGAGACGCCGTGGTTCGAGCTCCATGGGAAACCTTAGGTTTCTCTGTTTTACTTTAAACATCAAGTGGGGGGCTTTTTGCAAGGCTATCCAGATGTCCTTTGCAATAGCGCCCTGCTCCGAGTGCCTTTCGTCCTTTCCTTTATCCATCTCGAGCAAGTTCTAAACCGAATTGGCAGCACCACCTAATGACTGCGTCATCCCCAGTCTTGCAATCCCCACAGTTTTAACCGCATTTTTCGGTTGATGGGAAGAAGTCGAAGAGCGGGTGCTGGGAGCAGCCCGATCTTGAGGTCACAACGAGATGGCCCTGCCATACGTGCCAGAGGAGCCCCAACCCCCCAACCGATTCGGACTGAGTAACTGGGAGTCGAACTGTCGTCTATTTTCCCGAGTATTGTCACAGGCACATCTGAGAAATTATAAACTCCCGTGACAGGTTGATTGGACAAAATCAACCTTAGAACTATTGCTAGAATCCCCATTTGAGAACATGGTTCCTCTCAATTGCCTTTGCTTCTGAAAAGAAACACTGCAACGCTAACTCTTGATCGTGATGGTTTGAACACACATTGTACTTCTATGTTTAAGCAAGAAACGGATCCCCGCGGGTCGCTTCTCAGGGTGTCCTGTTTTCTGATAGCTTGTGCGGCTGAACCTGTGGCTTTCGTGACGACGAAACATGGCTTTCCAGAGCCCGTTGGTGATGCTAACGGTGTTGATGATACTTGAGCGACCTGCTGAGACATGCCTTCATATTTGTTGAATGTTGCAAAATACGGCATTTGGGCCCAGCAAGATGAGCAAAGTAAAAAACAAAAATGGAAACCAGTCAACACCACCCAAATTGATTCTGCACACTGCATCGGAGGGATGAAACAACCCAAAAGCCCGTGCTTGTTCTGAATCAACAAGTACGTCAATGAACCTACCAATCCCCACCAGATGTTTCTGTCTCCGGACTTAATATTTCATCCTCATCCATCCCTCTGGCATACTTCCTCTTGTGGTGGCTTTATGCATCCTCTTTTGCCGAACTTAATCTCGTTTTTGTTTGGGTGACATTCAATGGTGGAATATTGGAATCTTGTTTTTGCATCTATCCCATCCCTCCCTTCTCTTTGCATTCCACGGAGGAGTTCTGGCAAGATCGGGCCTTCCTTCTTGCTGCCGCGAGCCGAAATCCAGAGGCACTCCTGCAAGTTAACGAGGCGTGGGCCGGTTTGCTGTTTGATCGAGGAAAGCAGCGTCCAAAACGCTTATTCGCCATTCCAGTCAGGGGTACTGCTACCTGGTTTAGTTGGGATTATTGCAAGGTCTGCAGCCACCCTCGTAACCATTCACCATCTTGGCACAGCAAAGCGTCAATGGCTTCAGGCGCTGTTCCATTGCCCCATTTTAACTGCTTGGTTTGGCTTTAGCCGTTCTTAGAACCATGGGCATTCGCAACAGTATGCTTCGGATGATCTTGAAAGGAAGCACTGTGCATTTAGTAAAATTTCTACAGGTGAGGGCCTGTCCATCCGAAAGCCTTCGCCACACCACCTGGGGGGTCCAAACCTTGTGATAATCTTGCAACTTCTTGTAGATGCATCGGCTTTTATTTGCAGGACTTCACCTCAGAATCCAAGAAATGCTGTTTCAAGCTCCAATGAAGTCACGTGCTTGGTTTCCTGAAATCAAGGCCCTCCAGGAGCATGTCTCATCAACTGGGTGTTTTGGGTGGTTTCTTTCTTGAGTTTGAGTGGGTCCAATCACTTGGGGTGGCCCGCTGGCCAGGCGTTGCGGAAGGACCGGAATTTCATGCTGGCGGCGGTGGGGGAGCACGGGCAAGCGCTGGCCTCTTGTGCCCGAGCCCCAGGGCGCACCCACAGGTCTGAGGGAGTTTCATTCATGCTCCATGCGGACAGGGAGTTTCTCACAAACGCCTGGGTGGCATTTAATATGGAAAAGGACACCAACCAGAAAAAGGGGACCATGCTCTTCAGCAAAGCCCCAGGATTTTGTGCAAACCTTTGAGGCCTCTGCGCTGCTGGAACATCAGGATTTCCTGCTCCAGGCCGTCGAGGCCGATCATTCTCTGCGCACAGCCGGGCAGATCTTAGGAAGACTCCATGCGGTTTTCCTTTCCTTTTTGGGGTCCCGGACCCTGCAGGTGTATTTGGTTTCTTCATGTTACTGCCCCTCTGCTGGCCCTTCGGCCAGAGCAGTCCAATGGCAGGTCAGTGCTGAAGCTTTCGCCCACCTGCCGGCTGAGTTCAAGGAGGAACGACTGCCACGTTTGCAGCACGCGTTTGGTTGGCCCTGGAACCATGGTTCAAAACCAAGGGGATCCCATTTTGGGATAGGTGAATGCACCACCCATGTTAGAACCTATTTTAGTGGTTGGACTGGTTGATGTTCACTGGGGGTACGGGATTTGGGCTCATGGCCACCCATTGAACCTCTGACTCTATGACCAAGCACTCCATTTTCAGAGCTGTCTATGACTGTTTTCGGGAGCCGAGCTTGCAGCACGCGAAGACATCCATTGGCCAAGTGCGCACCGGAGCCGCCTCAGGATCCGGACTTCGCCTTGCTCTCGGGGGGAGGGGGGCTGTTTTCTAATGCTGCGACTGCAGGAATGCGGGGCGTATACAGCCTATCCTTGGGGAGGTTGGCTCGTTGTTTCAAAGAGCTTGAAACGAGAGACTGTCATTGTTGGACAGCCCCATGGAAGGATTGGACAGGGTTGTAGAGGTTGAGTCCCCATTCTTTCAACCATCGTGCTTCCCAGAAGCCAGCCACTTCAGATTATCTCCAAAGAAGGATCCTGGCAAAATGGTTAGAAGTTGCCCCTATTGTTACAGGGGTGTTTCTCAACATATCCCCTATGGAATTTAAGCCAACCACAAAAGGTCAGCCATTTTGAGATTCCAAGGGCGAGCTGGAGGTCCGCCCTTTTCGGCCCAAGCCCCGTGTCAGGTCCTCGCAGCTGTGAAGCGGAACGGGGCGGCCATCCGCTTCGCGGCGCGGCGCCCCATGGGAGGGCGACGGCTCGGGCTGGTTTTACAAAACCGAAAAGGGGCAGGGTCTCTTGGGGTGTTTCGCCTTAACCCATTGAGGGGGTGACTCTGATAGGAAAATCAACCTGAAAATGGCGCCAGACCTTGAGCTGATTGGAAACTCAACCTGAAAGGACATAATTTGAAGGAGTCCTTACTCTTGACACAAAACCATTTCCGGACCAAAGTACCACAGTTTGCAAGCAAGTGCTGCGACTTCTGGCACGGTCAGAACTGGAGCACAAGACAGGGCTACAGCCTGAAGGGAGTTTACACAACCACCAGATCAGCAAGGTTGGGGTTCTACAAAAAAATGCTTAATCTCCCCCTCTGTGTAAACCAGCTTACCCATGATGCAGGTCCTTCACCAGGGGATCCTCGCTTCCAGTTGGTGAAGTCTGTCAATGTCCAGCTTCTTTTTTATCGGGGGTGGGGCAGGGCTCTCTTTGTGAGTACTCTGTTTGGGGTGATGTTATATGATGGGAAGAAGGGAAACCACCTATTGTAGGGCTTTTCAATTAGCTAAGCTTGGGTGAAAGTAGATGCCACGACCTGACCATCTCGCTTTCATCATCCTTTTTGCTTACCGACATAAAGGGAATTGTGGGATCTACTTTCACCCTGCTGCACTTGCCGAAGTCGCCCAAATTGGCCGCACGAGGCCGATCGCTTCAGAAGGGATGCCGCCATCGTGCTAGCAGCGGTGCAGCGGAAGCCCGAGGCTGTCTTGTCAAGAGGGCTCCTTGTTCAAAGATGCACTACGATTCTTCTTTTTTTTCTGCACGGTTCTTTGCGATTCTTGGCTTTGTGGCTTGTCCAGGCCGGAAACCAAATTCTGGAAAAACCGCTGAGGCAAACAAAACCTCCCTGCTTGGGGGTCCTGAAGGAACCATGCTCGCCCACACGGAGGTGTGTGGCGTCTCGTCTCGGCCAGGCACTACGGCATGCTGCGGAGGATGGGAAGAATCTTCCCGGGGGGTGGAGAGTGGTAGCTTCTTGTTTGGTTTCCAGAGAAATCCCCCACAAATGTTGGCAACACTTTTTTAAGCAGGCCATAGGAAGACTACTTCGGGATACAGGGTGGCCATGGTGCAAGTGGGGGAGACAGAGAGGGAATGCATTTTGGGCGGGACCTATGTCCGAACCTCCAAGTTGGCTAGGCCAGGCAGCCTTTGGGCTTTCTGTAAGGACCGGGTGTTGTGAAATGGGGCATCACAAATTGGATCAGCCTCCTTGATGATGTTTAAATGAGAAACCCAAAGAAGAACAAGTCATGTGGGTGCGTCTTTTGGAAGGTGCCCTCTCTGGGGTTGCGTTCAAGCCAAAGGGAGCACCATTTTGGGCACCCAGTTTGGGAGTGGGGAGGCAGGTTTGTGGCCCGGGATGCAGAGAAGTCGCCTGGTCTTTAGTGGACTTGCAACGTGCAGGAGCTTTGAGCAACACCCTGACTCTTGCGTGTGTTGACGCACACAGGTTTTGCTGCCCCCGGAGTTTTGGGAATTAAACTTATACGCTAGACGTATGCGTCAACCAAGGACCCTTTTCTGTAACTTGCTCGTCTTGGCAGAGCTGGATCTCGGGAACACGTGATATATGCTATGGTCGGCTTGGGGCTTGGCTAGCGATGTAACAGAAAAGGAGTTGGGATACTGTTAGGATTCCTTTGATGAACAATGACCTCCCTGCAAGGACCTAGAGCATAGGACCCATGCAAGGAGTGCTGAGCACACGTTTCCACTGGCGCCATGCGACCCTGGAGCTATGGCAAACCTGCGATTGAGAGGAGCTTCGCCACAGCCGCGCGTTTGTGCGGGTGACTCAGTCTTTTGGGTCCTAGGCCTCGACACAAAATGCCACCGGCAACGGGTCCCTATCCCAACATGGAAGTGCACGGACTGGAAGACTCCTCTTCAAAAGGCCTGTGCACCAAAGGCCGGTGCATTTCGGTTGTGGGAGGACATGTTGGACCTGACAGATGGAGCAACAGTGGTGTAGGAAACCTGCGAGGCTCGATGCCGTTCGGGCCAATGGAGCTGCTTTGGCGCATGCAGGCGAGGAGATGTGGTGGTTGTCGCCGCCTTTCGGAAGGGGGTCGAGGGTCGGTGTTTAGCATGGCGGGTCAAAATGCCAGGCCCCTGTTATGATCCATCCGATGCATCCTTTGATCTTCTGATAACTCCAATAATTGCAGGGATTCAGAAGACCAGTTACCACGGAAACAGTGTAATGTGCGCTGAATCACTTCACAACACGCCTTCGCACTGCAGTGCGGGTGCGAAGGGCTCGATTGGACAAAGACAACCACCACAACATGTTCTCCATGTTTCTTTTCCGAGTCGTGGTTTGGCTTTTGCAACCGACTGCTTCAGGATCGTTATATTGTCCTGGTTGGGTGGGTTTAGCGGTTTAAGCATGAACTAGTTTATGCTTTCGATTGACGTTCTACCCAGCGGGTGATGCCAAAGGAGATACGATTTGGATACCACTGGAGGAGGCATCAGAGGGTCTTGGCGAGTTCGGCTCCCTGTTTGGCACCCCTGGCTTTGCGTTACAAGGGCCACACAGAAGATTTCAATGAGAACTGAAGCCGGCGCCAACTAGACCTCTTCAGATCTTGTCAACAAAAGGCGGTCCCAGGTTTCTTCTGGCTGGCATGAAGCTTGCAGACATTTGTTTGCGAGAACCAACAATCCCAGGCCTATGACCCGTTGCACCATCATAGCCCCTTTCTGGGTGAAGGGCACGACAACTGAACACCATCAAGTTCACGAAGTTCTGTGATTGGCTCGGCCAGGCAACGAGCTGCGCAGCGACCGTGAGATCGTCTTAGCGGCGGTGAGGAGGCAATCCGTACGGATCGCCGGTTGTTTGTCCCAATTATGCGGGAGTGTCTCAAAAAGGGGAACCTTGTATTAAATGGTGTTTGAAGGGAAACGACTAGGAACCCACCACTTGTGGGGGTTCAGAAACCCATTCCGCTTCATGGAAATTCACCACTCGCACCCGTGGTTGGTATAGCCAAGGCATTGTCATGATGTTCGAAATTGCACGAATGGGTAGTAATTAATCTAAGAATGCCTCAACAGGGCAAACCCAACGGTTTGCCGATGAATCCATCGGGCCACTCTAGAAAAGTCGACTCTCTGCAACATAGAGCAACTTGCGTTTTCTGGCGAACAGCGCTCCGTTCTGGCCCGAGCACCTGAACTTAATTCTTAATTTTTGGGCCTCCCCCAAAGGTAAACTCAACACGTTTTCCCCAAAAGGGAAGTTGCTGAGCTCAAGGCTGCCCGCTTAAGCAAGAAGTTTGTCGGCATAACTTCTGGGCTAATTTGCCCTTGCTGGGTGACGACAAGATGGAAAGACTGCAGCACCCTGCACAACAGCATCCTGTGCAAAGTTCCTCCACTTCAAGTCAACCATAGATTTCTGCCGGCTCATTGTTATGTCAACATCCCCATGCTGATGTCCACCCAATGATCCATGCCATGTCCAACGCTGCCCAACTCCGTCCAAATGACTTCCGCATGCATGTCCAATCTGAAAAACTGAAGCTGCGGGTCTTCCGGTTTGAACTGGCTGCGGGTCAAAAGAAGGTACCCAAAATGGAGCCCTGGTAAATGAGAAACATGGACTAAAACCTGCGGTCCCCTGGTTTAATTTTGACCCACACCCAACTGGGGGTCTTTCGAAGAAGCTGAGCGCTCAGCTGAGCCACAATCAAAACCTGGCACAATCCCAGCCATAAATAGTTGCGGCCGCCTTGGTATTTCCTTACATGGTTCTGGGTCAACCATTCTAATACCGGGTTTTGATTGTGACTCAGCGGCCGTACGGTGCCAGGGATGGTGTGGCGCTGGCCTACGCCTCAGAGGAGCTCCGCGGAGACGCGGAGGTGCTGGCCGCGGCCGCCGGGCGCCAAGCGCCGGGACTGCGCCAAGCGACCGAGTCGATGGGTCGGGGATTTCTTTTTCCGTGGCTTTCAAAGGGAAACGCCAGCTGGGTGTGGCTCAAGATGCAAGAGCTAGGGTTAGGCAGGTGTTCGTCTTTGGCTCCATTCTCCAAGGTGCCATTTTGGTACATTGGTTTGAGCCAATTGGGTTTAGGCGACATGTTGGCATGTTGATAGCAAACATCAAGATTCCCTGACGCGGTGATGACGCGTCGGTGACGATTCTGTTTTGCTGTTGGGTTCATGCCACATCGAGTTGTTGGATAGAAATTTACTGGGCTGACAGCCAGAACCGATGGGGGAAAGTACTCGTGTGGTCCTGGCTGTTAAGACATAGCTGCAAGAAGAAGTGCGGCTCGGAAGATTCCCTTGATCCATCCCCTTTTTTTCTCCGGAATATGGACTCTGCCGGCTTCAGAGCGCTTTATTCAAGGCCAGTGTCTGGCAACCCAATGTCACAGGGCAGCATGAAGCAAGCGAGGTCGCTCCGCTTTCTTGGGGATGCAGATATAGCATGTGTATGAAAGCCACATTTGAGCAGCTGGGAGTCGTACGTCAACGGATGTCTGCGAAGCAACGGCGAACAAAGCAAGAAGCAACTGATGCACGTAGCCATGATCTGGGCGGTGGTTCAGCTGAAATTGGCGAAGGAACCCTCGTGGTTTGGCAGGTTCAAAGGGAACCAAAGGGAACTTCAGGATGCACCCATAGTTCTGCATTTATTTTCAGTTTGGATCCTTTTCAAGCAGGTTTATTTTGGGAGGAGAGGCTTGTGAAGGGGGGGCAACCATAATCTGTGGTTTATTTTCTCGGTGTTTGTGGTGGCGCTTTTTGACATGATCACAGGCTTGTGGTTGGGGCAAGCAACGCCAGCGATGCACGCGATGTTAAGACAACACCTGGCGAGGGGGTTATGGAGCTGTCAACCCTTTCACAGGGAGTGAGTGGCTCCATTGTGAGATTGCAACAACCAAGAATCAGTGGGCTTTCTGTGGCACGCATTGTCAGTTCGTGATGATTCAGATGAGTAGGCATGGTGTCAGGAATTTTGCTAGTCTTGCGAGGAGGACAGGCAGCAAAAGCCGGGCCTTTTGCTGGCTATTGGTCAACGGAGATTTTGGACAATAACTCCTTACTGAAATGCACCCTCGTGAAATTACCAGGTGGCTTGTGAGATTTGCAAGCTTTACAGTCCACTCCCTTAGCCACTCAAAACAAAGGATCCACCGATTGCCAGGCACGCCAAGATTCCGTGGAAACAACAACCCGGTTCCTCAAACTGGAGGCTCCTTTTGGAGGGTTCTGAAAGAAGCCTGAATTGTCCCTAGCCATTAGAGGTCAAACCTTTACTTGACACGTTCCCAACAGACTGAAGCCAGTGGTTTGCGCTTGAGATCTTTTTTGGGGGCTGTCTAGCGATAAAACGAAGCACATTGCACGCATATGTGGAATCACTCACTTGTCACCACTCATTCTGCATGCTCAGCAGCAATGACCATCCCTCCGCTTGCCGGCCTTTTCTTCAGTATGGCGTCCATAGGGCATATGGTGGCTTCTGAAGACTGCGCAGTGCGCAGAGTTTGCATGCTACATCACATCCCTCTGAATGATTGGCGGAGAGAGTATTGGATGTGATGAATGATCTTTTGCACCAGATCTCATGCAACACGATGTGCAACTTCCAGAATCTCAACAAGTGGACTGTTCGAAGCATGCCGAGGCCGCCAGTGACGCATCGTCTCTTCAGTACGCATCCGAAGCGCTGCGAACAGAGTGACCTCGGCTGCTGGCTGCCAACTGGCTGGTGTTTTTTTGTTCCCCCTTCCACAAGGCATCCGAAAAGATACACTTGGACCGTCTGAAACATGACCTTTCCAGCAGACCAAGAGGAAACCACCATTTTGGGGGTAAGGTTCAGGTGAGTTACGGGTGAATGTTCTAGTGGTGCATAGCATTGGCTGTGAATGGTCAAAAGATCCCCTTCAAACGGGTGGACACAAACCCCACGTAGATGAAGTCCAAGGGTCCCCAATGAAGTTTCATACCACATTTGTCTGAATGATAGAGCCCTTCCAGCATCCACTTTTTCAGATTTCGCTCAGGTACGACTTTTCCGGTCTGAGGCAAGGACTTCAGCCGTCGGTTGGCAAGGGGGCTTCTCAAAATCGGGCAAGTTGCTGAGATGCCTATTTGGGTTTCCTTTGACCTTCTCTTTCGACGTCTATCCGTTACCTAGGACCCGCTTCTCCCGAGGGAAGATGGGGTGTATACTTGCCCAGAGTCTTGATCAGGACGCACGCTCCGGGGTCAGCACTTCGGCACATTGGAGAGCAGCTACAGAGATTTGTTTCACCAATCCGCAAGTAGAAAGTTAGAGCTAGGGGTGACTCTCCAGATATTGCGCATGAAGAGCATTCATTCTGTGCAAGTTGTTTTAGTTTATGGCCAGGTTTCCGGCAATATCTGGGGACTCCACAGTGTCTTGTACCTTAGATCCTCGCCGTTGGGAGACCGCGGTTCGGATAAGCGAGCCCTGTTTCGCGCGAGCCAGCGTTTGCAAAGTGCTTGCCATATCGTTGCAGGTTGCTACATGTAGGGTGATCCGTGAGCGTTCTGGCTCGCTCATATCTAGCTGGGTGGCCATGTCGCATGAAGCCACACAGGTGCAGGGTTGTGTTTTTGCGGGGGAATAAGATGAATGACAAATCTCTCCTCCAGGTGCCAGCAGGATACAGCTACATTTCCACAGGAGTCACTGCGCGGGGATCTCGGGTCTGAATTCCCCTGGATTTGCCAGCAACATTGCATCGTCGGTCAGGTCAGTTGTTGCAGACTCCCTTGTCCGGGTCTTACTGATGCGACTCGAAAGGGGGGCTCCCTAGAAAAGAATCGCCACCAAAAAGGGACTCATCTCATGAATCTAATGATAAGTGGGAGTTCTCTCAACCGGGCGACACTACTGCCCTGTCAGACTGTCTACATCCTGTTGGCGAGCTGGCACTCCAGCTGCGACGCTTCCTTTTACCTCAAGGCGAGTTGACACGTGCGTCTAGACCTTCAGAAGTGGCCGGAAGTGGACCAAACCCTTGGGTGACTATGAATTTTAAGGAGTTGGAACCACCTCCAAGTGGTTGGTGGTCGGCGAACTAATTCTTGCAAAAGGTTGCGACCCTTTCCTCAAAGGACACCAAGCCTCTTTTTCAGGTCCCGAGAGGTGCCACTGACTCTCAAGCGCCCGGGGAGCGAAGGCGTGGCTCTTGGGCGCCTTGGTGCTGGGATGGCCGGCCACCGCTGCGGCCGCTGGGGGCTCGGATCACGGTCAGACTGTCAGACTGTCAGAGGCCGTTTCCATCGGGATCGCCATGGTTGATATCTCCTTTTGGTCTCCCTTGAAATGCCAAAGGCGCCCACAAAAGGAGCAGGAGATTGGGCAGTGTTCTTTTCGGACCAACCGGGCTTTAGAAGTACTTTGAGGCTTAGCCAAGGAGGACTGGACATATATAAGTCTGCACATGAAAGTCCAGCGGGGTTTTCAAGACGTGTCGACTAGCGCATGCGAAGGGTGTCGGTGTGGGGGTCACAAGCGGAGACACGAATCACATTGTGACAACGGTGCAAAGGGCCAGATGTGTAGAACGTGTCACGCTACTTCTTGATTCAAAGTCCTCCCAATATCCTGTTTTTCTTTTGGCACGCGACCTTCTATTAGTCGCAAAGAGGTGCCTCTGGAAGAGATGTTGCCTCTGTATTTATGTCAACAGTTCCTAGGTCGCAGGCTGCGAAGGCGGTTTCGACCAAATTGGTTCGGGTCTATGGGTCCATGAACACATAGTTTGAATCGCGGCTCACATGCGCCGTGCAACTGGGTCCCTTGGGGATGGTTATCCAGTTGCTTGCCTTGTCGAAATGGACACCCCAAGCACAAGAATCCCTTGTCACCACATTCCCGAGCGTGTAGAGAGTGACAGACATCTTCACGGCGCAAGTGATTTCCGAAAGTGTTGGACTCTCCAATGGCAGCACGTCAGACGCAGGTGCACTCCCTTGCTTTGTGAAGATCAGATGATAGCCTTGTGCTCCTGCTTTTCGGAAACCAAACTTGTTTTTTTCTCGCCTGCAGGCCTTTGTGAGTGAGACGACCAGCTTCCGGCAGGGGTTTTGTCTGGAGCCCGGGGCCAAGATTTCAATGCATCAGCATCCCGTTGAAAACGGCGTTGCCAGGAGGGTTGAGTGGTTCTGCCGGGTGGATCTCCCCTCTTTGGAATGTCGAGCACAACAACAACCATCAAGACGAAGGGCCATTGCTTGTCGGGGATGTGTGAAAACCTGGAGTTTGGGCCAGTCATCAAAAGAAACCAACCTATGGACAACCAGTAGAAGGGCACAATTCCTAGTTTTTAGTCTCCGTGTGGGCTACGCAAATGTCCCCCCCAACAAAAAAGGAACACGCTTTGGGAGGGTGCTTCTTTGATCTTGTTTTTCAGCAGCACATGTCTATAGTGTATGTCCTGCTAGTCCATAAAGTTCGAGTTCCGCCTGTGTCGTGTGTTTGTCTTTGCACCGTCCTACCATGTGTCTAACGTGCTTTGGGCATAAGCGTTTGTGTTTATTTGCGTACACAGAATATAACTAGTTTAGTGCATTCCTTGCACTTGTCTGGTCCCAGAAACTGTCAAGCTCAATAAACAATGCTGCCCAATACTTGTTGAGCCAATGTCTCTACCATATGCTTAGCATTCATTTTGTATGGCATGTGTGTGTGTGTGGCATTGTCACATCATTATTTCATTTTGTCTCTAGCGTATTGTTGTCATTTTGGTTCTGGCACACTTCCAGAATGCTGCGTGTTTGATTCTGGCCGGTGCTTTGCATATCTTCAGCAAATGTCCGCATGTGTATGTTTCTACTTTTTGTCTATCTCTCATCTAGAGCGAGGGAAACACATTGCTACAGACAGACAGACAGACAGACACGCAGACAGACAGACAGACAGACAGACAGACAGATAGACAGCCAGCCAGCCAGCCAGCCAGCCAGCCAGGCAGGCAGGCAGGCAGGCAGGCAGACAGACAGACAGAGCAAGCAAGCAAGCAAGCAAACAGACACCAAATAACAAAAAACAACCAAACAAACCCGCAAGTCATTCAATGAATTTGCCTTCCTTTTTGTCCATGGGCATGCAGGACCAGCCACCTAATGGATAAGGCGTCATTGCTGTCGGACAATGACTTGTCTGAACGCAATGTCAATGGTGGTTCGCGTCCACCTGGTCCGCTTTCGTTCTTTCTGAAGTCATTTTGGTTGATGTCTGTTTTTTGTTGTTTGTTCTTTTTCCGAGCCAGAATTAACTCCTTCTAAGCACCTCGATCACACTGAAGAAGGCTGTAACTGGACATGACATGTTCCTGGCGTTTCTTGGTTGCTTCGTTTTGTCGTTTGGTTTGTTTGGAGAACTCGGTGATGCGCATAATAATGTTGTCAAATGTTAAAAGCGCAGAGCGAATTTAAAACACAACAAAGCAGCATATCAAAAAAGTGGTTCCTTGACGGAGCAGAGCAGGCTGTGATTGGACATGACATGCCCCTGGAAACATAGTCTTTATTGGGAGTGGAAATGTTGACGCGAACAGAACTGATGTTCCGGCCGCGGGATGTGGCTCTCTCAGGCTGGCCTTGTTTGCGACCTCTCTGGTGTGGCTCATGGTTGGCAGCGTGTGGTGCTGGGAATCCGAGGCACACGGCGTGAGAAGAAAGGATTGAAGATCATACTTGCTTGTCGAGCCAGGATTGCATGGATGAAGCTCCACTCCTGCCTTGGCCTTAAGATGGGAGCATCCCAGCTCAACTTGACTCCAGCCGCTCAGGTTTTGGGCAATCTTTGTCTCGACGATTTTCGCCTCAGTCTCATGCTGGAGAGCCACCCATAAATGAACCAACTGCCTTCCAGGTTTGGAGCACGCTGATATTGACCCTCTCCGGCGAGCCTGACGTGAGTTGTAAGCAGTCACCCCTGTTGGAAACGCTGGTGCTTGGATCATTTCGTAGACTAACACTGGCCAAGGGAACACAAACAATGTGATCCACCTTGAACAACACATCCACAGGGTGCAATATGTCGGCCAGGCCTGATCATCTCGACAGTCCTTGCAGTGGCTTGTACTCACAAACCACGTCATGCATCCACGGAATGAAGGCAATCATTCAGTTTGTACAGGCTCATAGGGGGGCAGTGGCGAATTTATTGGCATGGAGAAAGGAACATATAAAATCGGGAGTCCAATGTCCAAATATAAAGATTGATATCTTGGTGGTGTCTTGGCGAAGTGTTGGTTGTGTGTTGGTGGTGTTTTGAACGCCAACTCGAAAGATTCATTCAAACAAGAACGATACTATGATTTAATTGGATATGCTATATTCTTTAGACAGAACCTTGAATTTATACAAATATTATATAGATATAATATTGATAATTATTGATATATAACTTATATTTGAAAGGATAATATTCGAATTATGTATTTTGCATTATTTTGTTATAGATGTTTTTAAAATATATAATTTAAGTTTATAATATAAATAAAATTAAAATCACTATAATTATATATCTTTTTATACGCAAATATATTTATATTAATTTATATGTAGTTAAATATTATTATGAATGTTTTTGTGTTTTTATTTGTTTTTATTATTTCTTTATATAGCGGTGAGCCGTTGTAGTGGTATTCCGATCGAATTGTCATATTTATGGTCATTGATTATGTTTGTGTTGGTCTTTTCTCTATGGCATAAGTTGTTGTTTTTTCGCGCGGCTTGGAAGGCTTCGAGTTTGCCGAAATTTTAGGGGTGGAATTCTTGCGGCGGAATCCGGCTAAATTTACCCAATTTTGGGTTGTTTTCGGCGATGCAATTCTTAGGTTTTTGGACATTATGCCCACAATTGTTTTTAGAATTTGGTGGTTTGCCGAAAATTACCGGGCCAAATTTCGGGGAAATTTGGGTTTGTTTCTCTTTGTGTTTCTTAGTTTGTTGCCGTGAGTCTATATTTATTTATTTTGTAATCTCTGTTTTTCTCTATTTATTTTTGTGTATCTTTATGTATCTTAATTTGTTTCTTTTTGGTGTTTGTGTTTCCTTGTTTCTATTTGTTTGTTTGTGTCTTTTTGTTTTTCGGGTTGTTTTGGTTTGTCTTTGGTTTCTTTATGTGGTCGTGTTTGTCGTTCGTTTTTATTTTTTTGTGTTTTTTTGTCTATTTCCGTCTTTTTGTCTGTTTGTGTTTGTTTTTGCGAATCGGTTTACAAAGATGACACATTGTTTTATTGCTGCTTGCCACTTGCTGTATTTCCCTCTTTTGTTTATTTCTGATTATGTCTATTATTGTTTTTGTTTTGCTATTTGCCTCCTTGTTTCTCTCTTTTTTTTGTTCCTCGCTTTTTTTTCTTTCTCGTGTGTTCTCTTCTTGTTCTTTCTTTCTTTTTTTCTTTATTTGTTTTTCTCCCTTTTTTCTCTTTTTTTCTCTTTCTCTTTGTTTCTCTCTTTTTTTTTTTTTTTTTTTTTTTTTTTTTTTTTTTTTTTTTTTTTCCTTTTTTTTTCTTTTTTGTTTTTTCTTTCTCTTTTTCTCTTTCCTTTTTCTTCTTTCTCTTTCTCTCTCTTTTTTTCTCTCTTTCTCGCTCTTTTTCTCTCTTTCTCTCTTTCTTTTTCTCTTTTTTTCTTTGGGAAAGAAAGGATTTGTTTGTTTTTCTCTTTCTCTTTGGTCATGCTTTATCGCCCATAGGATGAGGAATTGCCTAGGTCTTATTGGGGCATCGGCTGGATTTTCCCGGGGCCGGAGATATTCTTGGGGAGTTATTGCCTTTTCTTTTTCTTTCTCTTTCTTTTTGTTTCTTCTTTTTTGTTTTTTGTTTTTTTTTGTTCCTGTTTCTCTCTTTTTCCTTCTTCTTTTATTTTTTTTATGGGTGTTGTCGTTGATGGAATTAACGGGTTCTTTTTAGTATTATATATTTATATGGTTAATATATAAATATATTTGATTTGCTATATTTTTTTTATATTTGTATATTAATTAAAGTTGTTGTTTTGTTGTTTTTCGATTTGGAATTATTAAAATGTATTGGTTTTTGAATTGAATTGGTTAATATATATCTATATATATGGTATATTTATATTGAAAACATGTATTTTTTTAGTTATTGAAATATATATTTTTATTATTGTATTGAAAAAATGATTTGTGAGTCGGAGTTGTTAAATTGTATTTATTTTGTTTTGTTTTATTTATTTCGAAAATTGTGGTTTTCGAGCCGGAATTACGAATACAAATTGTCTTTTCAATTTTAATATTGACAAATTGAGATTTTAAGGTGGACCTATTTTTTTTAAATTATATTCGTATTTAAAAATTATATTTGTAAAAATCGACGAAATCGGGGGCGGAAAATTCTCTAATTATACAATTTATTATTTAGGTTTTTTGTTTTTTTTTGTTTCTTTCTTTCTTATTTTCTCTTTGTTTTTTCTATTTGTTATGTTTTATTTCTTGTTTTTTATTTGATTTTTTTCTCTTTTCCTTTCTTTCTTTTCTCTCTTTGTTTCCTTTTTCCTTTTCTTTTCTTCTCTCTTCTTTCTTCTCGTTTCTCTCTTTTTTTCCTTTTTTCTTTTCTTCTTTTTTCTCTCTTCTCTCTTCTCTCCTCTCTTTTCTTTTCTTCTCTTTTCTCTTCTCTCTTCCCTCTTCTCATTTTTTGTCTCTGTGTTTTTTTTCATTTTTTTGCGTCTCTCTTCTTTCTTCGTTGTTGTTTGTTTCTTTGTTTTGTAGTTTTTGTCGGTTTCTTGTTTTTCTGTGTTTTATTACAATATTTTTATATATTAAATATATGATTTTTGATTTTCAATATGCAAATTTCAAATTATTATTATAGGGAAATAATAGAATTTGAATTAAATTATTTGTTTTGATTAAATTTATAGAATAATATATATATATTTAATATATATATATATATATATAATTTTATTATTTTTGATGAAAACAAAACTTATTAATCTATGTATATATTATTACATTTTTAATAATCATTTTTAGTTATATTATATGTATTTAATAATCATTATGTTTTATGATTTCAATTAATTAATTTTTTATTAAATTATATAATTTTAACATATTGGAATAAAGAAATATATATATATATATGTATTTTATAATTAATAATATTTGATTATAATACAAATTCTATAAATTATTTATATATGATATATTTACTTATAATATGTTTATATATATTTATATATATAAATATATATATATATATATTCTATAAAATATTTAAGATATTGTTTTTGAATAGTGTTTTCCATATACATATATATTGAATATAAAATATAATTGATATATATATATATATATTTGGAATCTATAATTCATATATATATATAAATGGACCATATTTATATACTAGATATATATTATATATATATATAAATTGAAAATTATGTTTTATTAAATTATATATTTTAATTTACAAATACATCTCTCTCTACATTTTTGGTAGGACCCCCCCCCCAATACCAAGGTTTTCCTGTTTTAAAATGTACATGTTGCATGTTTTTTTTTGTATAGAAAGTCGCTTGTTTGAGGAAAACCTGGAGTTGAGTTGGGGTCCTGCTAAAGATCAGAACACATATCTTACTACAAGTGCTTGATCATCGTTATGTGTTATTGGATGAATATAGAATACATAACTGTGGTTGCTAGAATTCTCCCCCCCCCCCTCCCCTCCAGAGTTGTGGGGCCCCCCCCCCCCCCCCTCCCCCCCCCCCTCCCCTTCAAGAGTTGCTAAGCAGGAACCCCCCCCCCCCCCTCCCCCTCGTCCAATTGCCAGGAGTCTAAGAGTTTAGAGTTTATTAGCCAGATTTGGAAGTTTATAAACTAAATTTGCGGGGAATGCTGAGCCTACACGAATTAAGACCATTTCAATGCACAATTTCAATCTGTTTAATGAATAGCTACTGGCTCGGGCGATTTCAAGTCTATCACATTCCCGTGCTAATAACCGCAATGGAGTGGCATCTCGAGAACATCAAAGCGGATCCTGAGCAGATCAATCTAGAATTAGGAAATTTGAACCTCCGAAATATCAAATGTGAATTCCTTTGCAAATAAGATGTTACTTCAAATTGAATTGACATTTTGACTAGACCCCTTTCCAAATCGGAGTTGATGGCAATTATTCAATTGGCCTTTGAATATTATTTCAAATAAGAATTCATTCCCAAATGTATTTAGGTTAAATGTGGCTTAAACAACTGTGGTATTTCTTTTCATGACGAAACCAATCCAACCAGAATTTAGGTTTAAAATAGAGTTTGAAAATGAGCTCCCTTGCAAACATTGCTTTAATTAAATATCAATTGAAATGTTAAGTACAATCTAGTAAGGACAAGGTTTTGCATTGCTATTTATTATTCTTGTTGGTCCGGATTTTTTGTCTGCTTTATTCTTTTTAGGCCTGTGCAAGTTTCAGAGCTTTCATTTTGTTCAGGTTCTGTTTTTTGGGCTGAGAAGGGGCGTAGGCCCAGGTTCAAACCCCAGTAAATTGTGCCGAAGCGGGTGGCCCACTTTGGCATTTCAGAAGTGTTGGTTTGGTTTACACAACCATGAAGACAGGATTTCACCAAACGTGCTCAAATGAGGTTGGGTCAACATATTTGGTATAGCAACCATTTGAGAATTAATTGGACATGGGTTTGGGGGTGTTGCTTGGTGCGCAATGTATGGCCAAATGATTGGTACGGCCCCCGTACCGATGGCCTCAGGTTCCTAACTGGCATTTTATGGGGCTCAAGCTGCAAAAAACAAATTGTGTTGCTCTACTACGTGTACTCGAAACCAGTGTAAAAATCAAAGTTTCTAATCAAAACCATGCTTGAAGCCGAACACAAGCCGTCTTGGACTTATTGCTTTTTTTCAATCCTTAAAAGACGAAACACCTGCTACCGTAAAGAAGGTGACAAATCATTAACAACATCTTATGTTGCAGCGCTTTTAGTCATGTGGAGAAAGAGGAAGCATAGAGTAGATATGAAGTGAGAATCGCAGGGAAACAGCTTTGTGTCCCAATAGGAATGGTTGTGCTGTCCTGCAACGCTAGTGCAAGAGTTCGGAATACGAATCGCAGCAATGCATAGGCTAGGTTGGAGAATTTGTGACTTGAGCCAAACGTGGCCACCACTTATATATGTTACAAACATATATA